GCTTTCTTACTAGTTTGGTTTGAGCCTCACTGATGAGTCTTGTGTAGACGAGGCGCGCGTTTGGCGTATTATATTATAAGCATGGTACCTTTGATGACTATTAGCATGTCGACATGTACTATCGTGTTATTCATTTGTGTATTTTTCTGTCCTGAATGTTCTTGAATTTATTTGTACTGTAGTCGTGTCATGTAATGTTGTCATTTTATTGTTATATGTAACATTGCTATAAAAGCGCGAGGTTTGGCTAGGCACATAACCAGGTTCAACTCTACATTTTTTTCTTTTAATGTCCTGTACCAAGTCAGGAAATGGCAGTTGTTATCTTATAATTCGTGTTTGTGGGTTTTGCATTGTTTTTTGTTTTTTGTTGCACTTCAGTGTTTTTGTTGTTTTGTTGTTTTCCTCTTATAGTTGATGTGTTTCCCTCGATTTTAGTTTTGAACCCGGTTTTGTGATCTTTCAATCGATATATGACTCTCGAACAGCGGTATACTACTGTTGCATTTATTTAAACAAATCAGACATAAGATTTGCGTTTATCTAATTATTTTCAATAAACAAATGAAATTGAGATTGGAAATGGGAAATGTGTCAAAGACAATAATAACCTGCTTAGAGAACAGAAAACCGAAGGCCACCAATCTTAAGGATTTTTTAAAGAACATCTACAAATACGGTTCATTCAACTGTTTATTATAGAAGAATATAAATACTTAATATGTTCATACATTTCGTTATGGGTTTATCCCAAAAATAATATAACACTGAGTGCATAACAATTTAATGATATATTTCTTGTTGAACCATGACTGTCAATAAGAAACAGATATTAATGAGTTTACCTTTTCTAAATTGAGTTTTAACCGGAGCCTCTGTTCTCAATTTGATCTATGTGCATATTCAACAAAGGACACTTTCAACATTGTAGACAAGAATATAATTCATGACAAAAGTCTCTGTTTTGTTGAACTTGTAATGCTAATCATGTTCTATTTAGTTTCCCTCTATCTTCTTTAGTTTTTGCTCAAAACACAAAAGGTAAAATAAATGTTTATTTAAAACCAATCACTCTTAAATTGAAAACTGATAGTCTGATCCTTTTTGTGATTTAAAGATTCTATTCATCTTTTATGATTTTTTAAAGCAAAACACAAAAAAATGTGAAAATTGTCATAAAAGATCAGTTACTCCAATACGGAGTCGTAGACCAATTTACTCTATACAGTCTCAATTGTGGATCTTGTTTTGCTGATCATTTTTGCTTTTCTTATTTAAGTTACTATCTATCTGTTATATATTTTAAGATGTAGGGCAAAAACGCAAAAATACTGTAAAAATCGAGCAATACCTCTAGGAAGGAGTCGACTGACGAATTCAACAATATGACCTATATTTAGAACTTGTATTGCTGCTCACCTCTACATTTTAAAGTTTCTCTCTATATATTATTGTTTTGAAGATATGAAAAATTATAAAAAAAAATGGTAAAATTCTCATTTAAGGGCAATAACTCCTGTAAGAAGTCGTTTGATAGTTTTGACATATACGGACAATTTGCAGAGCTCAACACTTTGAGATTGTCAGATTTTCTCTGTCGGAAATGGTTTTCAAAGTAATAGTCGAAACTTGCATTTTACCTATGTTCTATTCTCAGCCATGTCGGTCCTCTTGGTTGGCATGCAGGATCATCGGACACATATTTTACACTAAATACCTCAATGATGATTGTGGCCAAGTTTGGTTAAACTTGGCCCTGTAATTTCAGAGAAGATTTTTGTAAAAATTAAAGACGACGGACGAAGACGACGATGGACAACGACGGACGCCAAGTGATGAGAAAAGCTAATTTGGCCATTCGGGCCAGGTTAGCGAAAAAAGACTCTTTGAGAAATAAATAAATTTGAAAACCAGAAATTTCAGTATGCGTATACAAACTGTTTTAACAATCTTTGTTGAATTAAAATGTACGCTGACATTTAGTTACAGAGGCAGTATTTCGACGTATTTTTTAAATAAGTGAAGTATAACAGCTTAATTTGGGATCTCATGCTAGATTTTGAGCATCGTTATGAGAAAATCTAATTATTCTACAGAATGGTATATTTAAAAAATGTTGATTTCAATGTCTCTGTCTTTTTAAAATATTGGTTCAAAGGAAAACATGTCCCGCTCATATTATCAATTGTCTATTATTACCTATGAGATAACTATTCAAAACTAGCATTCTGTGAGTATTGCATGGGAATACATACTACCCTACGGTTAAAAATGCATTGTAATAGAACGAACTTGACCTATACCTTGTCATGGTGTAAACTACATACAAATATCAAGTCAAAATCTTCAAGCATGACAAAAAAAAAACTGTTGAAAACTGAAAGGGAATTTCTATGTCCAAAGACCATAACTCTGCACAAAATCATCAGACCGGAAAAAAATTCCAACTTGATCTGTAACTTGTCATGATACAACTGTGTACTAAATATTAAAACAATATCTTCAAGAATGACAAACAAACCTACCACTAAATTCTTTAAACAATTTACCAAAGAAAAGGAAAAAAAATCCAAAATATCAAATCCTTTAGAAAATGAGTTTTTTCTCTTGAAACAGAAAACCTCTAGTTAATAAGTATTTCATCAAAAATTTAATTCTATGAAAAGGGCTTAAACTAATCAAAGAGAAGAGCTAAAATCGTGAAAATTGAACTTGACCTGTAACTTGTCATGATAAAACAATAAACCAAATATCGAATCAATATCTTTAAGCACGAAGAAAAAAGTCTAGAAAACTGATTTGCCGGACTGATGGATGGACAGACAGACACACAGAGAGAGAGAGAGAGAGAGAGAGACAGACAGACAGACAGACGGACGAAGCGCAAACCTAAAGTCCCTACGACTTCGTCAGTAGAAGACTAAATAGTCGAATGAAATGGACGTCAGGAATTGTAGGTAACCGTATCAATTGTCAACGCTCAGTGAATCATGTTATTATTTGCAACAGAGTTTGAAAGAAATGACTTCATAGTGTATAAGCGTACAACTTCTCAACTTTATGTGACGACAACTTCGTTATCAACCCTTACCAAAAAACCCTAGCATAAGAAAAGTACTAAAAAACTGTTAACTAATACAGGACAAACAGACCAGAAAAAAAAAACAACAAATGCTAATCTTACGTCTTGGACATAGTAATGAATAATATAATAATAAAACTGGTGAGTACGCCCTTCAGATTTTCTAGCCGAAACATTTGTACATAATATTTAAGTGAATTAAAAAAAAATCTTGAATACGAATTTTCCTTTTGCAGTTATGTTTAACATTTATAGTGAATGAATAAAATAAATTATTGAATTCAGTTAATGTGAAAATGATAATCTATAATAAGACGCATTTGTCTAAATACGATCTACTGATAGTTGTGTGAATATAGATCAACTACAAAAAATCAAAAGCAGAAGAAGAAAAAACAACAGAAAAAAAACAAACAAAAAAATTACACATTCCCAAATTCAAAATCAAAAGCTCAAACAAATCAAATAAATAGAAAACACCTGTCATATTGTTGACTTCGTACAATCATTTTCTAATGTAAAAATTGGGGATTAAACCTAGTCTTACTTGTATGACAGTATATATAAATCCAAGATGATACTTACAGTTTTAAAATATTGATTTTTTTTTGGCAGAAGCAGGAAATTGTATAACTATTATTATTCGTTTAAGTACAGATGTACGTGGAGCGTTATTTTTGTTGATGATTATATAAGCAAACAATGAGGCAACCATCGAAAAGAATAAAAAATGTCAATCATTATAAACAAAAATATTCTAAAAAAACCAATTTCGAATATAAAATGTAATAACAATGAAAACAAATTTGATGTGAATCATTACTTTTCGAAAGTCAAACTATTAGTAAGAAGTGTACAGTATGAATCATATCATTCCGTTAATAGTGTAAACAAATTGTATATAGTACATGAAGCTAATTAGTAGAAAAATCAAGAACAACATTTACGGAATATACATGACATAGTAACAATGTTGATACAATGTATTTAGTTAACATTATAATTGATAACATATCAAGAAATGTATGAAAATATTGTCACATGTACAATTAAGGTATCAATGGAAATGTCAGTAAAAGAACTCCATATTTCTATGAAGAATGACAAAGAATGTAACCTCTTTTAGAATAACAATGTCACGTTCTCTGCAGATAAGCAAAACTTAATTGCTCAGAGTGTATTTACAACAAGGAGAAAAGAGTGTATATATTCTGTAAAAATTGTAATGTTGTACAAATTATATTTTGCACACAATTGTTGTACATATTATCAATATTTTATGAATCCCTGAACACAAATGGATGATACAAGAAAACAGTCTTTAGCTTTGCATATTTTTGGTATAAGGAAAAACAATGAAAAAATAATTTAAACATTCAGGCGTCCTTATTTCCAGTTTTTAGGACCAGGAGAGTAGCACTTAATATTAGGTTCCAGTAAATAAATTTCAATTTAAGTCATTAAGCTGATGAATTTAGAAGATAAACGTTTATCACCTGGTGCGAAAACGTACGTGTCAAAAAAACGTATAACTTAATAAAAAACCCAATACAAATTATAAATTAAACAAACTTTCAGCTAACATAACAGTAAAGACTTTGTAGTGTATATTACTATATAGGGCGGAGTGGGAATAGATGTTTGTATATTAAAATTAAGGTTTGTGAAAAAAAAACCAGTTGTATTGAGATTTACAGAGCAAATGTTTGTCAAATATTTCTTTAATGGCAACCAAGAAGTCGTCACTTATTAAATACCGATACGTTTTATAAAATGCATTCACCATTCCGTCTACTCCGTGGGATTTATCTAATTTCAACATTTCAACATTTCAACGGCCTTAATTCTATAAAACGTTGTTTCCATTTTACACATTCGTTTTTTAATTTTCTTCACTTAGTTCATGACCTAGATTTTGTTATAGCTTTTCTGTAAAGAGTCTTACATTTCAAGTATTGTTTTTAGTTGAAATTTCTAATTTATAAAATGTTTACTTATATTTGATGATTTTTTTTTTCAAGACGTTTTACGATTCTCGTAGCCTGTGATTTACGGGCACAATCAAGTGGTGTCTGACCTTTCTTATCACACAAACTAACATCTGCATTCCATGCAAGTAATAGTTTTACAGTTTCATAGTAACCATGATATGTATCTCCGAGTTTATAATCATAAGGTTGTATACGCCTGATGTAGCAAGGTATATTTGGATCCCAAAATTTGCCTGTTGGTATACATGTGTCAGGTATATAATGTTCACAAGCAACATGTAAAGGTGACTTTCCATTTTGTTGTTCACACTGAGAGACATCAGCATTTTTCTGCAGTAACAGTTTTACTGTATCTTTACATCTAAATTTACATGCCACATATAATGGAGACTCTCCCACCTTGTTACTCTTGGAGACATCAGCATTATTCTTAAGTAACAGTTCTACCGTATCTTCATGCCCGCTTGCACAGGCAACATACAATGGAGAATTACCTATATAATCACACTGAGAGAGGTCAGCATTGTTCTGAAGTAACAGTTCAACTGTATCTGTATGTCCTCCTGTACATGCAATAAACAATGAAGACTCAACACGATTATTATACTGTTTGACGTCAGCATTATTCTGCAGTAACACATCTATTGTATCTGTATGTCCTCCTACAGAGGCCACATGCAGTGAAGACTCTTTGTTTATGTTACACTGCAAAACATCAGCTTTATTCTGAAGTAGCAGTTCTACTGTATCTTTATGTCCTTTTTCACAGGCTATAAACAGTAGAGACTTACCATTCTTATTACACTGATGGACATCATCATTAGTCTGCAGTAACAGTTCAACTATATCTTTATGTCCTCCTCTACAGGCCATATATAATAGAGACTCCCCATCCTCATTACACTGATTGACGTCAGCATTGTTTTGAAGAAACAGTTCTACTATATTTTTTTGTCCTCTATTACAAGAATATAACAATAGAGACTGATCCCACATATTACACTGATTGAGGTCAGCCTTGTTCTGAAGTAACAGTTCTACTATATCTTTATGTCCTCTATATAAAGGGTATAACAATGGAAACATACCCCGCACATTACACTGATTGACGTCAGCCTTGTTCTGAAGTAACAGTTCTAATATATCGTTATATCCTCCTTGACAGGCCAGATACAATGGAGACTCACCATCCTTATCACACTGATTGACGTCAGCCTTGTTCTGAAGTAACAGTTCTACTTTATCGTTATATCCTCCTTGACAGGCCAGATACAATGGAGACTCACCATCCTTATCACACTGATTGACTTTAGCATTGTTCTGAAGTAACAGTTCTACTATATCTTCATGTCGTCTTCCACAGGCTTTAAACAATGAAGACTGACCATACTTATTACACTGATTGACGTCAGCCTTGTTCTGAAGTAACACTTCTACTATATCTTTATTTCCTCCGGTACAGGCTTCAAACAATGAAGACTGACCCAACTCATCACTCGTATTGACGCCAGCTTTGTTCTGAAGTAACAGATCTACAATAGCTTGATATCCTCCTCCACAGGCTACACTCAATGAAGACTTACGATTCCTATTAAACTGATTGACGTCAGCCTTGTTCTGAAGTAACAGTTTTGCTATACCTTTATATCCTCCTGTACAGGCCACATACAATGGAGAATCACCATCCCAATCACACTGATTGACAACAGCATTGCTCTGCAGTAACAGTCCTACTATATCTTTATATCCTCCTTTGCATGCTACATGCAACGGAGACCCCCATAATACATCACTCTTATTCACGTAAAACTTTTTCTGGAGTAACAGTTCTACTATATCTGTATGTCCTTCTTCACAGGCAACATACAATGGAGACTCATCCAACCCATCACACTGAGAAACATCTGCCTTGTTCTGTAGTAACACTTCTACTATATCTTTATGTCCTCCAATACAGGCCCAATGTAATGGAGACATACCACGCTTATTACACTGATTGACATAAGCATTGTTCTAAAGTAAAAGTTCTACTGTATTTTTATGTCCTTCTATACAGGCAACATGCAATGGTGACTTTACATATTTGTTACATTGAGATACATCAGCATTGTTCTCTAACAAAAATTTAGCTACAGCTGAATGTCCTCTTTCAGATGCCTTATATAAAGGGGAGCTGTCTTCACAGTTTGTGTTATTCACATTACATTTAACATCAACAATCAGAAAGTGAACAATATCAAAGTAACCCCTAATTGCTGATTCTATTAAAGGTGTTGTATAATAAATGTTCGACCAATATTTTCGTTTATTATCATTACCATAGTCCATTGGGCAGCCTTGTATATCAAACTTCTTTAATACTGTTTTTCATCATCACTCCTTCTTAAATAGCTTACTAACTTATCTCTAAATGTCTTGTAAATTAACTGGTAATTATGGAATGCACTTGTAATGACATGCTCTTTTAGGTCACATTACAGTCGTTCAAAGTAATCTTCTTCTTGATATTTCAATAATATAATTGAATCAACACTTTGATGGTCTTTCGTAAGAGATTCGAAGATGAAATTATCCTGAATAAATTCAGGGGGGGGGGGCATATTTTATAAAACATTCTGTTAGGTTTTTTCCACAGATTACAGCTGCCATTTTATAGAGTTTGTCATGTATCAATCTATACATTATGCCTCTAAGTTTAATATAGGTGCCATTTAATGTTGAAAAACCAGATTTAAAGAATTTCTATGCTTCTCTTTGCTTAAATCTATGTCAAATTCTTTAACAATGTCCACAAGTTTGTCCTTCTTCCTTTCTGAAACTGATCCTAATTTCAGCCAATCTGTATTGAATCCATCATTAAATATGATACACAGAGTAAGAGCACAGAACTGTTCTTTATTTTCATTAATAATGTTGTTTATGTTCTTTCTAATACTAATTAAAGGAGCTGTAAACAGTTTCTTGACGTCCTCAGATGTTTTGTCTTTTGACAATTTACAAAGCAAGGGAAAGTAATCAACGTTCTCCGTGACTTGTTTTATATTGTCAATTATGTCTTCCGGAAGGTACTTGTGCAGCATATGCATTCTTTCAGCTTCCAGCAAACACAACTCGGGTGATAATAAATTACATTGTTTTTTTGTGAATAATGTAATACGTTGAAACTGTGCTTCTTTATATATATGGAGTCTACAAGACAGCAGTAATTTTGGACTTGATACCTTAGAAACCGTTTTATCATTTTTACTTGCAACATCTTTTTCTGCAACTTTAAGTATTTTCTCAATTTTTTCTGAATAATCTCTCCACGTCTGTAATGTCTGCATGTTGAGTGTTTCCTTTCCACAGATTTCATCAACAATAAACACTTGTTTTTTGTTTTCATTATAATAATTCATAATGTCTGTTGGTCCTGTTAATACTGGTATTATCTCATATTTCAAACTGTTACCTAAGTGTAAATCAGCATGATGTATGTTTGAAGATTTACCACAGCCCGAGCTTCCTTTCACAACAATACAGTTATGGAATGGTAGAGATTCCAGTATGTGACGTGTTGCTCTGGTTACGAAAAAGGTAGTTTGGTCTTGCTCCCATTCTCCTATTTCTTTGTCCATGGTGAGCTGCAAAGAAAAGAAATTGTACAAGCTGATGTCTGATTTGTAAATTTAATTTTGACCATGAACTGAAGAACAAAATTATACAATCTAAAATGCCTCGTTCTCTAAACTGATTAAAACTGAAAGTCTTCAATGTCAAGGTCAGAGCATCGGTAAATCATTGCTTAGTATTTTCTGATACAATTTTCTTTGAAAACAAAATAAATATTTTTTGGAATAGAGTTAAAATAAGTTATTTCAGCACAGCTCATTTGTTTAACAACCAATAGTATGTTGATGTCAGTTGGTGGAGCTTAGCCCAATTGTCTGCATCCTCAATGTGATTTATATAAGGAACTGTTAGAGTACAATCCAAAGTCATATATAATTGTTTAAGTCAGTTTAGAATAAACATTTATTAAAATCTTTTTAACTTAAAGTGGATAAATGAACCAATAATTGTCAACCCTGTCATCATACAGACATGGTATCCAAACAATATATTTACATCATCCCGTTTTGGGCAATATGACTATTTATTTTCAGCTTTTACTACGCCTGGATATTCATTTAAAAATCTCCATGCCCCTTCCCTAGTCCAAATATTAAATGATCGTCCCTGATTAACATGTTACTAAAACAAACCAACTAAGTAACAGATCAATATAATATGAATTCAAACGATCAAATAAAACAACGCCAAGCTCTCATGAAACCTGCTGAATATTCTAGGAGACTCTCCCGATTGTCTTTTTGTTATTTGTGTTGATGGATTGCTGACCAATTGGTGTATAAACAACATGTTTTGGGTTCATACTTAAGGTGACTTGATAGAACCTTTTGCTTGATTGACTTTTGATAAACGCCACATCACCAAACGATGCAATACCCTTTCAAGCTATAGATACATTTCAAACTTGTTATAATAAAGAAACTGACCTTATCACATAAACATTGATAAAAGAACAATGATAAAAGAACAGCGTTCCAATGTCCCCCGCATTGCACATATGCTATCTATCCAATGTTCAAGGAAGATAATGATAAAAGCTTTTTTTTTTTTTGTTCTTTCAAACTTTTTATTTATATCTTAAGAAAATTGAAAGCTTCAGAGAAATGCCAATGTGATTTCCATCGTAACTTATATTTCTAAGAGGCATAACTCGTATATAATAGAATACATAAGAGCAATAGCATTGCATTTTTTTAATATAATTAAAATGTTCAGGGTGCACAACTATTCTAAAAATAATTGATCCTCACTGATTTTTGAAACCTTTGAGTACACTAATGATCTAAATCTATAATGTAATTTGATAAAAAATCTAGCAAGAATTGTACACATTAGAGTGCTCATCAGGCAATTTTCCATAAAAATAATATTTCCAATGCGCATAACTGTTTTTTTAAAGTTATTGGTCGTTACTGATTTTCAAATTCATCCAAGACGATAATATAAACCTATGATTTATGTTTTATAAAATTATGTCAAGAATTGTACATGAGAGAGTGCTAACAATGCAATCCACCATATAATTTTATTTCCAAGGGGCATAATTCTTAATTCATAATTCATAATTGATTGGCACTTATTTTCAAACTCATCCAAAATGTCCTGTACCAAGTCAGGAATATGGCAGTTATTATCTAAAAATTTGTTTCTATGTATGTTGCATTGTCGTTTGTTTTTTGTTGCACTTCAGTGTTATGTTGTTTGGTTGTTTTCCTCTTATAGTTGATGTGTTCCCTCTGTTTCAGTTTGTACACCAGATTTGTTTTCTCTCAATCGATTGATGACTTTTGAACAGTGGAATACTACTGTTGCCTTTATTTATCTAAACTTATAATATAAGTTTCATAAAAATCTTCCTAAAATTGTACAAATGAGAGCGCTTAAGATGCAATTTTCAATATAAGTAATGTTTTCAAGCGGCATAACTCTATCAAAAATAATTGATCGGCACTGACTTTCGAACTCGTCCAAGACACCTCAAAAATCAAAAATTTCCGAGGTTTCTTTGGACATGAATAAATATAATTATTCAATTAAAAAGAACCATACAAATGAGGTCAAGGTCAGACGACATTAGCTAGACAGACATGTAAACCTTACAATCATTCCATACACCAAATATAGTTGAAAAACTGCTTACAGTACTTGAAAAATAGACCAAAACACCAAAAGTTAAAAATGACCAATGCACCATAAGAACGAGGTCAAGGTCAGATGAAACCTGTCAGTCTGATATGTACCCCTTACAATCATTCCTTACACCACAAATAGTTGACCTGCTGATTGTAATCAGACAAACGGACCTAATCATATAACTTTAACCTTGATAGATGATCCATGAATCAAGGTCAAGGTCAAGTTAACCCTGTCTGACGGATATGTAGACGGTGCAACCAACCCATATACAAAACATAGTTATCCTGTTACTCGTTATAAGTGAGAAATTCACATTACAATTAAAATGTAATATGTTTTCAAGCAGTCACTGAACCAAGAAAATGAGGTAAAGACAATGGGCATATGACAGACGGAAACTTCGTAACATAAGGTATTTGCATCCACAGTATGAAGCATCAAGGTCTTTCACCTTCTGATATATAAAGCTGTATTCAAATAGATTACGCCGACGCTGCCGGATAGTAATACCTATGTCGTGCATACTGCGACTTTCGTCTCAGGCGAGACAAAATTGATTATAATATTTTCTTTTTCAAAATCAGGCATGGGGCGAATTGCATTGCAATGTAATGCATTATATTACAATTACTTTGACAAAACCATGCATTAAATTACAATTACAATTACATGCTTTTATCAAAGTAATGCATCAAATTACAATTACTTTGGCAAAGTAATGCATTGAATAACACATTACATTTTGTAAATGTGTTTATTAAGCGAAAAGAAAAATTAAACATTTTGAAAAACAACATGAAGTCACAAAAGATTCTAGCATATTCATCAACTGTATTGAATTTAGCCAGACATGTAAGAAGTCTATTCAATATGAATATTTCATTTTAACATCATAATGGTTTTGAAAGATTAAATGCACATTAAGGGTTTCGAAAGGTTTCCTCCTTCATGCACATCCTATCAGGCCTGAACTTTCAAATGATATTTCTGACTATCCAACTGTTTCATAAAACCTATCAAAGTTGATAGATCTTTGGTTTTAATGTTTCAAAATAAACATCTGTCATTTTCACTAAAAAGAAATTACAGAGATGAAGTTTGATACTTATTTTAACTTGATGTTAACTATACTTTTTTAAATATACAAAAAAGTCATTCAATGTTTTTTTTTATTGACCCCCCCCCCCCACCCCACCCCCCCCCCCCCAAAAAAAACAAAAAAATGTTTA